GTTCTATGTGCTGAGAAGAAAAATGTATATTCTGTAGTTTGGAGACAGAAACATTATACCTGTGAGTTTGACTATTTTGGATACATTATATTAGTGAAACCATGCAATATTTGTCCTTCTGTGACTAGCTTAATTCACATAGCATAATGTCCTCCCAGTTCATCCATGTTGTAGCAAATGGCAGGATTTCTTCTTTCTAAAAGCTGAGTCATATTCTATTGTATGCAAATAACACATTGTCTTCATCCACTCATCTGCTGATGGATATTTGGTCTCTTTCCATATCTAGGTTACTATGAATAATGCTGCAGTGAACATGGAACCGTAGGTATCTCTTTGAGACTTTGATTTCATTTTTCGATATATACCCAGAAGTGAGATAGGATATACCCACAATGAGGTATTGTCTCATATTTACTAGAATGGATATATATACATATTTTTTTTAAAGAAAAGATGACAAGTATTGGAGAGAATGTGAAGAAATTAGAACCCTTGTACACTGTTGGTGAGAATGTAAGATGCAGCAACTACTATGGAAAACAGCATGGAGAGTCTTCAAAAAAATTAGACACAGAATGACATATGATCTAGGTGTGTATTTTAAATGATCGAATATTTGAGAATTGTTCACTTTTAAAATAGTTGATTTCTAGTTTAATTCCATTGTGATTACAGAACATACTTTGATTTCTTGTCTTTTAATTTTGTTAATCAAAAAAAAATTCCAAAATATGTTCTAGCATTTGAGGTCCATTTGAAAAACATGTGTTTTCTGTTCTTGTGGTGTGGAGTATATTCTACAAATGTCTGTTAGGTCAGGTTGGTTCATGGTAGTGTCCAGGGATCAGCAAATTATTTATGTAAAGGGCTAGATGGTAAATACTTTAGCTTTGTAGGTTTCATGTTGTCTATTGCAACTCTTCATTAGTGCTGTTTTAGTTAAAGTAACCAGAGATAATACATAAACAAATGAGTGTGGCTGTGTTCCAGTGAAAACGTATTTACAAAATATAGGTGGCAGGTTGACTGTGGCTGATAGGCCAAAGTTTTTTTTAACTCTTATTATTTATATTGCTTACATTCTTGCTGATTTTCTATTTGTTTTATCTATGACTGAAAAACAGTTGAAAACCTTCAAATAAATTTGTGGATTTATTTATTTCTTCTTTCTGTTCAACCAGTTTTTCTTAATGTATTTTGAAGCTCTGTCGTTCAGTGCATACACATTTAGGACTGTTATGTATTCTTGGTGAACTGACCCTTTTACCATCATATGATATCTCTCTATCCTTGATTGTTTTTCTATTATTGTCTGATATTAATAGCCACTGAAGCTTTCTTTTAATTTATACTTGTCTGGAATATTCTTTCCCAGTATTTTACTTTTAATCTACCCATATCATTATATTAAAAGTAAGTTTCTTATACAATGTATATAACTTGGTCTTTAAAGAAAATCCAATCTGACAATTTCTTCCTTTTAATTCATGTTTTAGATGATTTATATTTAAGATAATTATTGATATGTTTACATTGAGCTGTACCATTTTATTGCTTTCTTTTTATTTATTTTTATTTTAAAGATGTGGGGTACAATTTAGGGTTAGGTACATAAGTGGTCATTGTACAGGTAAAGTTTGGGCCTCCCCTTGGTCCCCACTTTGCCTGGTTTGCGATTGGGTACCCCATTTTATTTTTTTCTGCTGTATCCTCTGAGTTTTGTTCCTCTGTTTTCCTTTTCTGCCTTTCTTTTGGATTATTTAAAACTGTTTAGTATTTAATTTTAACATATCTGTTGAGTTTTTTATTCTCTCTGGTATAATTTTTTAGCAGTTGCTCTCAGGGCTATAATGTATGCACCTTTTTTTTTTTTTTTTTGAGTTGGAGTCTCACTCTGTCACCCAGGCTGTGCAATGGCACACTCACAGCCACCCCAGCGTCGACCTGCTGGGCTCCGGAGATTCTTCCACCTCCGCCTTCCAAGTAACCAGAACTACAGGCGCGCATTGCTATGTCCATCTAATTTTTTATTTATTGTAGAGACGAGGTCTTGCTAATTTGCCCGAGCTGGTATGGAACTCGTGGGCTGAGGCAGTTCACTCGCCTTGGCCTCCCAAAGTGCTGGAATTACAGGCTAAGCCACCGAGACCGGCTTTTTTATTTTTCATTTTTTTAAAGACAGCGACTCACTCTGTTTCCCAGGCTGGAGGGCAGTGACACAATCATAGTCTCCTGGGCTCAAGTGATCTTCCCACCTTAGCCTCCAGAGTAGCTAGGACTGCAGGTGAAGGCCACCTCACTCAGCTAATTTTTCAATTTTTTTTTTTTTTGTCGAAACTGGGTCTAGCTTTGTTGCCCATGCTGGTCTGGAATGCCTGGCTTTCCACCTCAGCCTCCCAAAGTGCTGGGATTACAGGCATGAGTCATCATGCCAAACATCACCAGTGTTTTGTAGTTTTCCTTGCAGAGGTCTTTCACTTCCTTGGGCAAATTTATTCCTAGTGTTTTTTCTTCTTTTTCTTTTTTTGTAGGTATTGTAAATAAGTTTGCCTTCTTGATTTCTTCTTCAGCTATTTCATTATTGGTATTTAGCAATGCTACTGATGTTTGTCTGCTGATTTTGTATCCTGAAATCTTACTGAATTTATTAGTTCTAAGCATTTTTTGGTGGAGTCTTTTGGTTTTTCTAAATAAAAACCAAATTAAAAAGCACGTCACCTTCAAAGAGGGACAATTTGAATTCCTTTTTTCCAGTCTGTATTCCTTTTCTTTCTTTCTCTTGGCTGATTGCTCTGGCTAGGACTTCTAGTACTGTGTGGAATAGGAGTGGTGAGAGTGAAGACCCTTGTCTTGTTTCAGTTAAGGCTTTTAACTTTTCCCCATTCAGTATGATGTTAGCCGTGGGTTTGTCATATATAAATTTTATTATTTTGAGGTACGTTCCTTCTATGTGCAATTTGTTGAGGTTTGATTATCAAGGGTTGTTGAATTTTTCAAATGCTTTTTCTCCATATATTGAGATGATCATAAGATGTTTGTCCTTCATTCTGTTGATACATTGCATCCTGTTTATTGATTTCAGTATGTCAAACCATTCTTGAATTCCTGATATAAATCTTATTTGATCATGGTATATTGTCTTTTTGATGTGCTCTTGGATTTGGTTTGCTAGAATTTTGCTGAGGATTTTATGTTCACCAGGGATATTGGCCTCTTGTCTGGGTTTGGTATCAGGATAATGCTGGCCTCGTAGAATGAGTTAGCTAAAATTCCTTTCTCTTCAATTTTGTAATTCAATAGTAAAAAGAAAATCCCACTTAAAAATGGGCAAAAAAAGCCGGGCTCGGTGGCTTAGCCTATAATCCCGCAATTTGGGAGGCTGAGGTAAGTGGATTGCCTGAGCCCATGGGATCAAGACCTGCTTGGGCAACTTGGCGAGACTTCATCTCTACAATAAATCAAAAATTAGCTGGAATTACAGGCGCGCGCTACCACGCCCGGCTAATTTTTGATTTATCGTAGCGACGAGGTCTCGAACCCGCGGGCTCAGGCAATCCACTCACCTCAGCCTCCCAAAGGCGCGGGATGACAGGCTGAGCCACCGAGCCCAGCTTATCCAGTTTCTTAGAAAGAAACATGTAGTAGGGACTTATGAACAGAAGCCATGTCTGTCTTGGATGGCAGCAAGACAAGATGGTGGATCCCCATGCCATTACCCCCAGACCTAGGGATTATATACCATAGAAAAAGGATAATTCAGAAGGGATGTGTAGAAGAACTGAAGTATTATAACTAAGGTTGTTTACCTAAGGGCAGAGTTTCCACTAAGTACCTGCTCCTACATGAGAAACAATAGATAAATGGGCAATCTCAGAGAATTTCCCCGAGCTGGGATTAATCAGAAGTCAACACTGTGGATCAGCATCCTGGATGAAGTTGATTTGGCCTCCACGGTTCTTTCAAAATAACTAGAAAAGAGGAGTTGACAGTGATCTGTCACAGCAACAAAGATCTGAGTACTATATGTTCTCACTCATAAGTGGACCCTGAACATTTATCATAATACTGTAAGAAAGGGATCAGTGGTAGTACGATACTGCCAAGGGAGTTAGAGGGAAGCACATAACATCAATAAGCGTACCCAGTCTCAAACCAGGCGAAGTGAAGATCAAGCGGAGGCCCAAACTTTGCCTGTATGATGACCACGTATGTACCTAACCCTGAATTGTACCCCACATCTTTAAAAGAAAAAGAAAAGAGGAACTGATACCAACACACATAAATGATAAATCCTGAAGGTCACGGATACTTCAGATACCCTGACTTGATCATTACACTTTCTAAGCATGTAACAAACAATCACTGAGAAACTCTCCTTCATTTTGAAGCGATCATATAATCTTTGGGGAAAATAATTTGGGGGGCTTTTTGCCCATATCAAGGTAAAACAAGGCTCCCACAATATGACTGAACTACATGGTAACTCTTAAGATTCATTTTATTTTTTGTTGTTGGAGGTACATCTTTACTGTAAAGAGGCCTCTGAAAAGTTGGGTGAGAAAGAGCTGTTTATAGCCTTCGATAAAATAACTGGACAAAAGCCGGGCTCGGTGGCTCAGCCTGTAATCCCGCGCCTTTGGGAGGCTGAGGTGAGTGGATTGCCTGAGCCTGCGGATTCGAGATCCGCCTGGGGAGGCGAGACCTCATCTCTACAATAAATCAAAAAAATTAGCCGGGTGTGGTAGTGCGCGCCTGTAGTTCCAGCTACTTGGAAGGCTGAGGCGGAAGGATCGCCGGAGCCCAGCAGGTTGAAGCTGTGGTGACTGGGAGCGGCCACTGCACTCCAGTCTGGGCGATAGTGAGACTCCAACTCAAAAAAAAAAAACACAAAAAACAAAAACAAACTGGACAAAAACTACACAGTATAGTCTCTGTTTTATCACTGGATAAAAATGTTATGGTAAATATATCTAAATATATATATCTATCTTACTGACCTTGAATAAATATTTGGTCCAACACCATTTTCGTGTTGCAATGCCAATAATTCCACCATCAGGAAGATTTGAAATTCTACCTAGTCTTATAAAATCATGAAAACTTTTAAAGTAAAGAATGCCATGTATTAAAAAAAATATTCCATCCCTTGATATGCTCACATCAACCACACTCTGTCTTTCATCATCACTCAGAATGTTTGGAGGCACCCTGACTCTGGTCCAAGTACGGAATGAATCATTTGTTTGAAAGGTCTCCATATTGGTTACCAAAACAACAGATGAAACAACACAGGTATCCCAGGAAGCCATTAATTGACTACCAGTTGGGGAAGAGATTGGTAAAAAACCAGGAGTATCAGGTATGGTCAACAAAGGAAAAGTCAACAGAAGAAGCCTATCTTCAATAGAACAATCATGAAAAGTCACTCGGTTTCCTCTAATGTCCTTTAGCAAATCTTCTGTTGTTATTGGTACCATGATACGCCAGGTCCTAAGAAAAGAATGAAAAGAGAATTCAATGATCTCCCTCTTCTGATCCATCTTGCACAGTGTTGACATTTATTATTTTCAAAAAGTTAAAATTTTTATCAACATAAATCTGGGGAAAACAGATAAAAATACTAAAATACTATCCTGCAACATTTCTTCTGCCTACACTCTGGTCCCAAAGGAAAACAATCTTGACTCTTATAGCTCTTTCATCTGCAATGTGTCTCTGTATTCCCAAATAAATATTATTTAATGCTCTTTCTTTTTTTTTTTTTGAGTTGGAGTCTCACTATCGCCCAGACTGGAGTGCAGTGGCCGCTCCCAGCCACTGCAGCCTCAACCTGCTGGGCTCCAGCGATGCTCTTTCTTAATATATAACTTGTATACATTATCTATTGCCTTCTTTTTTTTTTTTTTTTTTTTTTTTTGAGTTAGAGTCTCACTCCGTTGCCTAGGCTAGAGTGCAGTGGTATGCTCATGGCCACCCCAGCATCGGCTACTGGGCTCAGGCAGTTCTTCTGCCTCAGCCTTCCAAGTAGCTGGAAAGATAGATGTGTGCTACCACGCCTGGCTAATTTTTTGATTTATTGTGGAGATGAAGTCTTGTCAAGTTGCCCGGGGTGGTCTTGAACCTGTGGGCTCTGGCAGTCCTCTCACCTGGGCCTCCCAAAGTGCTGGGATTACAGGCTTGAGCCATCGTGCCCGGCCTCTACTACCTTCTTATATGGCAGATAAAGATATATCTCTCATATGCCATGCCTTCTCATACATGTTTTCCCCATCTCTCGAATTAATTATACGAACTTTTTAGTTAACTCAATAGAGTTTTATATTGTTATTAATATGTAAATATTACTAGCCAGCCAATTCTACTATGATTCTATTTTCTTCTTTGTGTGTGTCTGCATATGTGTGTATATATGCATATATATGTGTATATATATGTGTATATATATATATATATATATAAAATATTATCTGGAGTTAATTATTTCATTTCCACATTTTGTTTAATTTTCTAAGATTTTCAATAGGTAGTTAAAATAGAATTTCATAATATTTTTCATGTGATAAATGCAGAGATAATCTAGTACTTGTTTTCTGGGGTTTCCCTTCATTAATATCTGGGTTGAAGCTACCATTTACTGAAGGTCATGCTTTGATCTTTTGTCCTTTGCTAAAGCACACTCTTTTTTTTTTTTTTTTGAGTTGGAGTCTCACTCTGTCGCCCAGACTGGAGTGCAGTGGCCGCTCCTGGCCACCGCAGCCTCGACCTGCTGGGCTCCGGCGATCCTTCCAGTTCAGCCTTCCGAGTAGCTGGAATTACAGGCATGCGCTACGCCCGGCTGATTTTTTGATTTATTGTAGAGATGAGGGCTCGCCGCCCAGGCGGGTCTCGAACCCGCGGGCTCAGGCAATCCACTCACCTCAGCCTCCCAAAGGCGCGGGATTACAGGCTGAGCCACCGAGCCCAGCTAGCACACTCTTTTAAAAATGTTAGTTTTGTATTTAATTTAAAAATTTTATTTTATGATAGAGATGTGGAGTACAAGTGAGAATTAACTACATAAGTAGGGTGCATGCAGGTGACGTTTGGGCTTCTAATTGGCCCTCACTCCTCCTGGTAGTGGACTAGGTACCACGTGGAGGGTGGGTCCACTGTGGGTGGGTCCACTGTGTGGTTGGTTCACTGGCACCTGGCTGGGCCATCATGGAGGCACGTGGTGGGGCCGCCACAGAGGCATGTGTTGGGTTTATTGCAGAGGCATACCGTGTTGCCACCACGGAGGCAAGTGGCAGGGCCACTGTTGAGGCACACATGAGGTCCACTGCAGAGGAGCTGCGCAGGCATGTATCCCTCACCCTCTTCCCTTCCTCCCTGCCCTATCAGTGCCCAGCAACTGCCATCCCTTCCTTGTAAAACACACTCTTTAGTGCCTTTCTGTGAAAGGGTGTGTGAACAGACATTGCTGAGACTCTAAATATGTGAAACTACCTTTATTTTCCATACTCGATGGATAGTGGGTTAGGAGCCAGTCCTTTGGTAATCAGAATCACTGAGAAAGTCAGGTGGCAGATATATTTTGTTATTAAGTGGGTTGTTTTTGTGTAAGTTCTTATGATCCTCCATCTTTCTTGTTAATTTAAAATTTGGTAGCTGAATCTCTCTCTTCAAGTGAACACACAGTGATCTATAAAAACAAACACTCTGACATATCTTAGAAGTACTGAAAATTTCTAAGGCGAGTTCCTTAGCAGGGCAACCCAGGAGACATCAGGCTGAGGACGTTCAATAAACACTTTGTAAGTCACCCATTTTCTTAATGAATGTATACTTGGGTTGGTGATAATGACATTCTGCTCATTCAGCAGGACCTAGATCCTGCTAAGTCAAGGGAACCCCAAGTTTGGGCAGTCGTAGAACTACCATAAAACCTCTTATGCCCTGAATCATGCCATCATGAAACTCAGTGCAATTTCTTCTTTTTGCAAGCTACATTCCCTGGCTCTAACACTGGTTTCAATGACATCTTCTTAAGTCACCAGTAAACATTTTGTTATATTGTCCACTGGTTATATAATAATCTCACATATGCAGTCACACTAAAACTAGGCATTTATGACTATTTTGTTTGAATGGACAACTGGTTATCCACAGGCCTAGATGGAATTCAGCACCCAAAGGCTGGCCAGGACATATTGCTCTTTTTTCAATTTTTCATATCTATTATTTTGCTTTCAAATTTTGATTTTTAAAATTGTGACTATATATGTTCAAATTTTTAATTTGCTTTCTATTTTCTAGCATCCTGGTATATATCTTCCCTATTATTTTTGTGAAAATGCTGTTCACATTAGTCAGAGCTCACTAGAGAAACAGAACCAATAGAATATATAGACATTTATAGAAAGAGGCTTATTATAAATGGTTGGCTCTCACATGATTATGGAAGCTAAGAAGTTCCCTGAGATGTTGTCTGCAAGATTGGAGACCACAGAAAGCTAGTGATATAGTTCCAGTTCAAGTTCAAAGGCCTGAGAACCAGGGGAGCCAACAGTGTAAGTGCCCATCTGAGTCCTGAGACCCTAAAACTGGGGTTACCATAGTGTGAGCCCTACTCCAGATCTGAAGGCTTGAGAACCAGGACCCAATGTCCAGGCACAGGAGAAGATGGATGTCTCAGCTCAAGCAGACAGACTGAATTCACTCTTCTTTTGCTCATTTGTTCGAGCCAATCCCTCAATGAATTGCATGATGTCCAACCACATTGGTGAGGATGATCTTTTATACTGAGTTTACCAATTTAAATGCTAATCTCTTCCAGAAACACATCATAGACACACCTAAAAATAAACAATGTTTTACCAGCTATCTGGGCATCCCCTAGCCCAGTCAAGTTGACACACAAAACTAGCCATCACAAGTCCACTTCTTGTCAATTTGGCATCCATATTCATTTCCTTAAGCCATACTTAATCACCAAATAAAGACAATAACAAGGTCATAATTTCACCTAACAGGAACCAACTATCCTGCATACAACTAAAAATACACTACTCCCTTCTTCAGAAGAGGAGGTAAAGTCCTTGAGTGATGTTCACTTTCTGCTAATATCCTGTAACTTAAATACTATGGTGTAAAGTTGACAATACTTAAATACAGATATAAAGTCAAAAACCTTATATTACATAATAAAGGGATAAGACCATATATTATTATGTAATATAAGGTCAAAAACCTTATATTACATAATAAATATATATATTTGATTAACATATGTATATATACACACAAATATATTCATAACAAAATAAGGAGAAAATACTCATTTCTGTAACTGGCCATGTGGTTATAAGCAGGTATTTATAACTGACTTCTTCTGCATCTATTCTGTATTCCTTTTGCCTTCTGCAGGAATCTCAGCTGGTCGTGGTTCTTTACCCAGTGGGATAACTCAAACCTTCATTCCTGAAACGTCTGGGCCATTTGCAGTTCTGGCTGGATTGGGTTTTCGGAGGTTTCCATGGACCTTAATAACAGGGCATGGTAATACTAGGAGATGCACGAGGGAGAGCCTGTATTTCAGACACATTCTTCCTTACCTCCATTGTGAAGTAGTTCAATTTCCATGTGGTAGTCTGGGTAAATCACTCTAGCCAATATAGTAACTCCTTTTCTTTCCCATTGACTCAGAGGCATGAGGAGCTCAAAGGGTCCAGGGGGCAGTCTTACTATCTAGTCAATGAAATTATTGCTGGATCTCCCCATGAAAGTATTCTTCTCTCTGGAACTAAAATCTCAAGGCCAGCAAAGCATATCCTAGGAACAGGAAGTAAAAATTTGCTAATAGGTCATTAGGGGTAATAGTAGTGCCATTTCAATTTTCACTCTTTGGTTCCTGGCAACCAGAACACACCACCATATATTGGGCACTGATTCAGAGCACATACAGCTTTCTGGAGAACCTTCCTCAGTCTTTCAATACATAGGCACTTGCTGTCCCTATAACTGAGTTTTCAAAAGGCAATTCTACTATTCTATCATGCCAGCTACTTCCGGATAGTGGAGAACATGGCAAAACCAACGAATTCCAGGAGCATGGACCCAGTGCTTCCTTCTTTTGTTTTGAAGTGAGAAGCAAAGCTTTGTGAGTTACAATAGAATGGATAAGGCATTCTGTAAGTCTATCGATGATAATTATCTCAGAAGCATTGTGTTCAGGGAAGGCAATTCCATATCCAGAGTAAGTGTCTATTCTAGTAGAAGCAAAACATTGCCCTTCCACGATGGAAGTCGTCCAGTGTAGTTAACCTGCCACCAAGTAACTGGCTAATTACCTCAAGGAAAGGTATCATATTGGGGGTCCACGTCTGGTTTCTGTTCCTGGCAGATTTGGCACTCAAGAGTTGAACATAGCCAAGTCAACCTGGGTGAGTAGAAGGCTATGTTGCTGAGTCCGTAAATTTCTGCTACCATGGCTCCTTTCTTTCATTAGCACA